CTCAGTGGTTAGAGCACTCGCTTTGCAAGCGAGAGACCTGAGTTCAATTCCAGGCAGAGGGCGAAACCTTGGGCAAGTTTCCTTACTTCACACGCCTAATAATAATCCCTCCAAAACAAAACAATAATAAATTGGTCATTTTCAATCTACGACTGTTTGTGGGACACTGCTGTGCGCAATTGGCTGCCGCGTTCGCCCACAAATATACAGTCAATTCACTTTACAGTGTGTTCTGTGAAGCGCTTTGGGACGTCCTCCCGACGTGAAAAGCGCTATATCAAATGCAAGGATTATTATTATTATTATTATTATTATTGCTTAAATCAAAATTCATCATACTACTCCAACTCATTCCTTCCCTCAAGACAGTGGAAGTTCTTGTCTTGTCTTCATCAATCTTCCATCTCAAACAATTCTCAGACTTTCAAGGTGTACTCTTGGTGATACCAAACCCTGTTATCTTACTTGTTTATCTGATTCTCTTTGATATTGGTGTAATGCACAATGGGTTTCAGTTCCCCTTCGGTTTCTCAATTGAGAATCCTGGATGATTTTTCTCTTCTCAGCCGAGGGACACTGAGGCCAATTGCGGTGCTGACATAATTGAGAATAACTCATGGTGACCTGAAATTGTATTTGGAGCTTCCTTAATATGGTTCATGACCACACCAGGTAGTATGTTTTCTTAATCCGCCATTGAATGCATCTAGCAAGTCCAGAATTTATTGTTAAACATCCTTGAGTGACGTTTAACTGGAAAGCTTTCATGAAACAAAGGAGCACAAAGGGGAAGATTTGTCGATTCTATTATTGAAAATTAGGTAATATAACAACATGAGCAGTAATTATCACACAGCAGTATTATGATCATCCGAATAAAAACAGTAAAAACCATTGTGCTGTGACATTGCCCCTATTTAAACTAAAAATAATTGAAAGAACAGAACTGAGGTAAATTTTAACTGAAAATTCATCATGATAATAACATTTGCACGCAACTACCTTAAGTATTCCCTAATGTAAGTTTCATTATATTAAACTAATAGCATTGACATTATTATTGGACACCCGGTCAGTCGTATTGTAACATTAAGAGTAAAATGGGTTTAGAATAAAAATAGTAGATGCTTAAGTTATAATAGAATAATACCAACTACAATAAGAGCAAAATCAGTGATAATTATTTCCTTCGGCTACAATCTCTTCATTGTCACAATATAATCTGCAAAAAATCATACTGCGTTCTTTTTGATGACACTTGGTTTCAATCCTGAGGTTTTACTTTCAATGATCATTACAGCTCATTACCATTTTCTTATTAACCTCCTGCTGGGAGGTTATTGCATGTGCCTGATGGACCTTTCTGTCATTAACCAGGCTTCTGTACATTGTATTTGATAACCTCTCTCATAAACAGACTGAAACTTGAGATAAATATGTCTAAGAAACATCTCGGACATGTAATCTGACCTAATAACAGCCTTTGGCTGTTAGAACCAATTGATGTTACTCTGATCCTAATACAAACTGCAGACCTTTTGCCACAGCTTATAGCGAAACACAATTCTCGGGGGAAAACAGTATTAGCGAGGATGCTGCATTCTATCGATCATTGGGGCTTTAAAAAATAAATCAGGTGGTAAATCAACATTATTAGCAAAAACAATAAGTTGTCAGATTTTGCTGAGGAGCCCAATGCTATATCAGGTTAGATGATTTAAGTAACCAATCAGGAAAAGACATTATGAAGCACTAAAAGGCCTTGTAATGAGCAACTAATGCATTGATTAGTGCAATAAAGAACAAAACTGAGCACAGAATCAGTCGGACAGGCATACAATACAGAGAAAAGCTCTAAAATAAACAGGCTAAGCCTGTTTTACGGAGGTAGATGTTATTATTATGGAGGAAATCACACAGTTTTACTTGGAAATCAAAGGTAAAGAGATTTTTATTTTTATTTCAAAGGCACACAATGATGTCTATCATTGTCCTGTGCCCCGATTATTAAAACGTGTGATCTTTTCATTATGTCTTTATGGAGTCTATTTTTCTCTTGCAACAAAACCATGAGTAACTGGTCTATTTTGCATTCATAAAGCAAATTGGAGTTTAATAGAGGAAATGGGAGAGTGAAGGCTCAAGTGAACACTGGCATAGACTAATTGGACCGAATTGGCTGTTTCGTTGTTGCAATTTACTGCAATATGCAATTGTTCTGAGTTAATTAATGGATCACCAAAAGATGTACATGATGCTGATGTGTGACAATAACACTCACTACCTTGGATGAAAGTGTGCCATTCAATGGAATTGCTGAAATAATCAATAGTCAGTAACAGTTCTCAACAAGGTTAACAGGATTTCATTAGGAAAAAGAGGAAAAAACAAATGTTTGGTGGCTTGAAATAAAGATATTGACGAGTAACATTATGTGTTTTTCCACAGACCAATATGAGACCAGGAACTGATACCATTTTGAAAATAGCGAATTATAATGAACAGTTAAGAATAGGTTTTCTTTTACAAATGTAATTTAATTTCTATACTTTTAGATCCCTCCGATTAAAATATGGCTCTCTGACACCTACAGAAACTCATCACTATGCTAAATAGCATTCAAAGCAAACTGAGAATTCCATGCATCCCACCTAGACATGGAAATTCTCTTGTATTGGAATGGAATGCGCACTCTCTCCCTGGAGGGACGTATCCTGCTTACCGAATCCCAGAGAGTATTTGGCACAGGCTGGAAAGAGCCAGGGCTTGGGGACCTGAGTGTATGTTGGTATAGTGCTGGAGTCTAACCAGCTAAAACTGCATAACTTGTCATTGAAATTGCTGTCTGGCAAGCTATCCCGCTGCTTGTTCAGCTGGACCACTCTATCTGTTTGTGCTTTGGGTGCAGCGTTATCAGCAGCCGAACGTGAAGAATCCCTGTCCCATCTGTCCCTACAGGCTGGCTGAGCTATCATCAGCAGTGCCTGGAGTACTGTGGAGCTACCTGGCATAGGAACCAATTACTTGTGTCCAGTTGATGGTATATATCTAAACCCAAATTTTAAATACTATTTATTCTAAGCGCCTTGGAACATCCTCCTGACTGAAAGCACTTTACAAATGTAATTTTGTTGTTGTTGTTGTGAGTAATGCAAATACTATTAGATCTGAGAAAATAACTTATTACACTAATATCCCACATTTCCTTCGCCTCACTCGCTCCCTTGCCTCCTTCGACTGTGCTTTCAGCCACCCTCCTATCCTCTCTGCCCTCCACCTCTCATGATACCCTCTCCTCCGCTCGGGTCCTAATGCCTGACTGTTCAGCACCTTGGGACATCCTCTCAATGTGAAAGGCACTTTACAAATGTAATTTTGTAATATATTGTATTGTAATATAAACATATGTCAACAGAAAGGTATTTGTAAAATGTACCACACATGCAGCATTTTATTACAGGCAAAATATAAAAGAGATTGAGAAAGAAAGCAGCTAAACTGAAACCACTCAGAATAAAGTTCCCAGCAGACCAAGGTATAAACTCAAGAGTATAAACTCAAGAGTATAATAAAAGGTTACAACTAGACAGCTCTAACCATCTTGTGTACATACATGGAAGCAGTGATATGAGGATAAATAAACACTCATGGCATTTATATATTCATCGATGAATCATTCATGCACTGTAAAACTTCCAAAGCATGATGAACATCTGGATATGTAATGCAAAAAAGAATTAATAGTTCATCATAGCACAGAAATGAAAGGATAATCTTTATGCAGAGAGTGCAGCACAACCGGTACCTCCTTCATACTGCAATCCAGCTGCTGGTCCCCAACCTGACAGAGAAGGATTCACCACCAGTATGTTGTTCTTGGATACTGTTACTGAATTTTGAGATGGCAATCAACCCAAACATCTCCCATGACTCTTCGATCTGATGTATTAGAACACTGGTTGCCATTCATCTGAAGGGCAGCAAGATACAGAAACAGAGTGAATCTGTGCATGGTAAACAACACCTGTCTTATTGACCATGGTGACAGGACATATCCTATAGCTGTCAACTACTTCTTTCACCCTTGTATTTCCAGGACTGTTTCAGCATAGATTCACAATAGCACAATTTTGTTTGATAGAAGTGCACAGAAATTCCCCAAACTGTTTTCCCAACTCCAATTTTCTCCACTTTTCTAAAAGTCCTGAACGTACACTAATAAGAAAGTTCTATACATAATGAGCACTCTCTTATATCTTACCAAGTGTCATTCACAAACTTCCATAGTGAGTATTGTCAGGTCATTGGGACTATTACAGCTGATCCATTCCCTATTTTTTTCTGAAAAACATGCAGTTTGCAGTAGGGATTACTGCCCATCCCAAGAAAAAACCCATCCTCTGTTTAGTCAAGGCAAAGCTCTCTGCTGAAAATAATAATAAAACCCAAATTGAGTACCATGGATCATAACATAAATACAATATTCCTATCTAATTTGTTTGTGTATAATCAGCTGTAAAGAACTGCACAAAGTACATTTTGCACTCCACTAAATGCAGTTTTTGGGTTACTTTGAGTCCTAATAATAATAATAACAACTTTTGCATTTGATATAATAATAATAATAACAATAATAATAACCCTTGCATTTGATATAGTGCCTTATCATGGCTTTGAGATGTCTCAAATCGCTTTACAGAATATATTGTAAAGTGAATTGACCGTAAGCTTTGTGGGTGAAACGCAGCAGCCGATTGCTCACAGCAGTGTCCCACAAACAGTTGTGGATTCAGTGACCAAATTATTATTTTTTTAAGGAATTATTTCGCTTGCGAGTCGAGTGCTCTAACTACTCAACTATAGGACTCCACGGGATTTACTGTACAGTATAGTGACTGTGTATTTTGTAGTTGAACCTCTAAGTAATATTTAAATCATCACTGAATGTAGTCATTAATTTACTTTCAGGTTATTAACAGTTTCCTTTATCTTTTTTATAGAAAAGAAGGTTGGTATGAATGCTGCCAAGTCTAAAGAAACTGAAAGTACGTATTCTATGTTGGAAAATAATATATTAAAAAAACTTTGATCTCAATTGAACATCTTTTACTTGAAGGCCATATTGGCAGATTTTTAATTAAGACATTTACAGGAGTCCTTCAGAGTGATTTATGTCAGTGTCCTAATCCTCTTGATGCCTGGAGCTATGGATGTTCACATGTTTTTCACTTTGGGTTAACTGGACCAAAACAGGAGATAATTCATTTCTCCATTAAAAGTAAATTGTGTCAAATAGGTTATAAAAAAGAACGGCTGGTAAAGAAGTATGTTGCAATGCTTCTGATAAATGATTGGTATCAGACAGAGTTGAAGTACAATAGCAACATGAATCTAGTTTGTGTTACATGAGCAGGAGCAGACATGAGGCAGTTTTTAATTGATCCCTCATCCACGATGAATACACAATCACTATACTTTATAAAAACTCTGTGAAACCCTTTGAGATGTTCTTAACGTGATGAGGCATGTTACAAAATGCAAGGATTAGTATTATCTTTACTACAATCTTTTGTTATTATTAATATCTTGCTTATCTTATACACTCTAAGGTGACACTCCAATGCCGTGCTTGTCCTTTGGATTAGACGTTAAACTCAGGTCCTGTTTGACTGTTCAGGTCGACATTAAAGATCCCTTGGCCTGATTTGAAAAAAGAAAGGAATTTCTCCAGGTGTCCCATCTGATAATCTCCCAAATAAAATTGGCCATTCACCTCATGGCTGTTTGTGGGACATTGCCGTGCACAAATTGTCTGCTGCATTCCCCCACAAGAATAGTCATTCCATTTTACAGTAAAATTCTGTGCAGTGCTTTGAGATGTCTCAATGACTTGAAAGGTGCTTTATCAAATGTAATGGTTATTCATTATTATAACTTTAGAATTTCTTCACAAATCTGGCGTTTTCAGAGGATTTTTAGATGTTAAGATGAGCAGAGGTGTGATTAATCTATCAGAGAAGCAAAGTAGTGGGAAATATGGCAAAATTGCTAAATAAATTAATTTAACTTTTTTTGCACTTTGGACCTATGTGTGGAATGTGCAGTTTAGTGGATTGAAATGAATAAATCCAATATTAAAAGTCAATTTATTGACGGTCCAATTACTAACCATTTGACGTTTGATGAAGAAAGAAATACAGGAACATACTATATAATGTGCAAAGTAGCAAACTGGAAGTTCAGCCCCATTTAACATAAATGCCACATTTCATTTTTCACAAACCTCTCGTGGAATTATAGAGGAGGAAATAGAAATGAAGGCAATGGAGGGTGCCCAAATTTGGGTGATTAACTGCCTGTAGACCTCAGTGCAAAGGAAATCATAATAATAATAATCCTTACAATTGATGTAGCATCTTTCAGGTTTGGAGAACATCTCAAAGCGCTTCACATGATAATAATAATCCTGGCATTTGATATAGCTCCTTATCACATCTTTGAGACGTCTCAAAGCGCTTACTGCATATACTGTAAACAACAAGAACAACAAAATTACATTTGTAAAGCACCTTTCCCATTGGGAGGACGTCCCAAAGCGCTGAACAGTCAGGGATCAGGACCCGAGTGTGGGGAGGCAGGGTTGGGGTGAGGGAGGGCAGAGGGGGTAGGAGGGTGGCTGAAGGTATGATCGAAAAGGAGAATCTTGAGTCGTGACTTGAAGGAGGCAAGGAAGGAAGCACAGCAAAGGGATTGTGGGATGGAGTTCCAAAGGCTGGGGGCAGAGAGGCTGAAAGCCCGGCCACCGATGATAGGGGGGTGGGGGGTTGGGCAGGAGACATGGAACAGGCTGGAGCCTGCTGAACACAGGGAGCGGACCGGTTGATAGGGGGTCAGCAGACCAGAGAGGTAGGAGGCGGCAAGGCCATGGAGGGCCTTGAAAGTGAGGACGAGGATTTTGAATTCTATCCTCTGAGGGATGGGGAACCAGTGGAGCCGGGTGAGGGTGGGGGTGATGGGGTCACGGAGCCTGGTGTGGCAGAGGACATGATCTGCAGAATACTGGATGATCTGCAGCTTATGGAGAGAAGAGTTGGGGAGGCCGATAAGTTCGGAGTTTCCTTAGTTGAGCCTTGAGGTGATGAATGTGTGTATGAGGGTTTTGGTGGCCTGAAGGTGAGGCAGTGGCAAAGTCAGGTAATGTTGTGGAGGTAGGGAGGGCAAAGTTGGTCATGGCACAGATTTGGGGGAGAAAGGACAGTTGAGGGTCGAACAAGATGCTTAGGTTCCTGACTGGCTTGGTGCGGTGGAGTGTCCATCCGTGGATGCTGATGCTGCCAGTGTCTGAGGTGCTGAGGTGGTGGAGGATGGTGGAGTGGTCCATGGTATCGAAGGCAGCAGAGAGTTCGAGAAGGATGAGAAGGCAGAGGGAGCCCTGGTCACAGATGGACAGGATGTCATTTGTAACCTTGACCGAGCAGTTTCCGTGCTGTGAGCAGCACAGAAACCCGATTTGAGGGGCTCATGAAGGGAATGCTAGGAGAGGAAGAAGTGAAGCTGGGAACAACAACTCTTTCAAGGATCTTGGAAAGAAAATGGAGGTTGGAGATGTGATATTAGTTAGAAAGCAAGGATGGACCCAGGGAAGGTTTTTTCAGAATGGCGGTGATTATTGGTGTTTTTAGGGGGATGGGAACGTTGCCAGATGAGAGAGACTGTTGGTGTTGGAGAATAGAGGTGTGAGGAAAGGGAGCTGAGAGGTAATGAGAGGGGTGGGGATCAGGTCAAGGGAGCAGCTAAAGTGAACTGACTATATATTTTGTGGTCAAAATACAGCAGCCAATTGCACACAGCAGTGTCCCACAAACAGTTGTGGATTGAGTGACCAAATTGTTATTATTTTTTTGGAAGGGGATATTACCCCAGAAATGTAATCTACTAACAACCGGGTTCCTACTTACTGCTAGGTAAACAGAGGTATGTGGAGTAAGGAAACTTACCCAACGATTTGCCCTGCTGTCAATTGAACCCAGATCCTCCCGCTTGCGAGGCGAGTGCTCTAACCGTTAAACTACAGGACTCCACAGTATTATATACCATTAATGTCTCAGTGTAAAGATCATATTTTGTAGGCAAATATTCTGTTGAATATGACTGTGCAAACTAGAGCACAAACTGTTGCAAACTTATAATTTTCAATCCTCTTCGATCTCTTCAACTCTTACCTTGAATTGATCTTCTGTAGTAAAGAATACCTATAGCAGCAGTTGTTTCAAAGTACATTGTAAACTGTGAAAAGGCCAGCATTGATTGTTACTTTTAGTAGGCTGACACTTTGCTCAGTTAGTTAAGATTGATGGGAGATGTGGAGAAAATTTCAGTGGCAAATATGATGGGTCGTCTGAAAGGAGAAAAAATGGAAGCTGAGTGCTTAGTGAAGAGGCCATTTAATGCCATAACCCTATGATGGAATGCTCCAGGAACGAAAAAGCTGCAGTCAAAATAATTTGTAAAAATCAAATAAGTCACAAAGGCCGATAGATGGATACAAAATACAGAGTCACCCCATTTTACAGTAAATCCTATGAAGTGCTTTGAGACATCTTCCCGATTTGAAAGGGGCCATATCAATTGTAAGGAATAATATTATTATCCAATGGAAGATTTTCATAAGCTTTTTGGGATTGTGCAGGTTCCCTAGATAAGGGAAATTTGATGCATTTCAGTAAATTACTTGTGTGAAATCCAGTTGCAAGATTCAAATTATGTCATAAACCACTGGAGTGTTTGAATGGTTTATGTTCATTGTCTGAATCACAAGGCTGGATTATTGCTTCAATTCACTTAAAGGATGCTAGGATGATTTATAATATGATATTATAGTGATTTTTTTTCATGTAAAGTAAGTTTAACAGTTCAGAGAAATGAATAAAACAGGATGTCACTTGAACTTTCAGTGGCTATAATATAGTTGTTAATATAAGTGATATCTGCAGCATTAGTTATTTGAAAGATTGAAGGATGAGGGAGACACCCTTTGTACCTACACTTAAATCAAAGAGACCAAGCACACAGCTACACACTCTGATTGTGTGGCTATCATTACATGTTCTGCTGCGTATCTCCAAAATTAAAGGCAAAACAATGATATAGAGCCCAATGTAGGCCAAAAGATTACATTTAGAAATTGGACAAACTGGGCTTGAAGCCATCCAGCCATTTGAGAAAAAATACTTTTTTTTTGGTGAGGGAGATCAGGGTCTCAAAGGTACATAACTGCAGGGAATGCAAAATTAAAGGCAAAAATTTGGAGACCTGTAATTTACAAAATAGAATCGTTCTCCTCAAGTTCAAAATAAAATGGCGGCGCTAGGAATGAAGCAATACACTTGCCTGTAGAAGAGCACCATCTTCTGGTGTTCTTATAAAGGTATTCCTTAAAATAAGGAACAGAACAAGTTTAAGAATCCTATAGAATTTACACTTATGTGACAGTGATGTTAACCGTATGATGCCTGTACTCATGGAATGGGTGTGATATAATTATTACTTTACAATACTGATCAGTTTAGTAATGTAATTACTTTGGAAAAATAATTTACACTTGGATCAAAATCATGTACAAAGGAGGTTAGACTCAATATCTATGATAACTTTTCACTCTGTACCTGAATTCATAGCCTTTAACACTTCTAGTATATCTTCCTGATTCGAAAGGCATTATATCAAATGAAAGGAGTATTAGTATGATTAGCTGCTGATTTTGCCCATATTGACCCCAGACCAGACCTGTGATGTATATTTGTTTTTTTTGGGTTACACATTATTTCAACAACAGCTTGCACATTTCACATCAATTAATAAATAATCTTTACATTTGATATAGTGCCTTTCACGTCAGGATAACATCTTAAATCATTTCATGGGATTTTTACTCTAAAGTGGATTGACTATGTTTTCTGGGTGAGTGCAGCTGCCAATTTAGCAACAGCAATGTCCCAGAAACAAACAGCTGTGAAGTGAATGACCAATTTTAATTGGGGGATTG